TGCCAGGTACTAACCTGTGAAGATGGCGCTGTGCTGCAGGTACCTCAACGACGAGCTGGAGCTATGGCGCTGCAGGTAAGTCTCCCTGGCCTCCGCCCAATCTCTTTCCCTCTCCACTGCTACTCTAGCTCCTAATAGCGCCCAGCGCTGAAGACTACTGCTAACGCTACTACTACTACTGCAGCGCACCTCCAGAGTGCTGCTGCCGAATCCTGAAGACTACCTCCTGCCTCCTGAACTGCACGTGAAGTGCCTGGAAAGTCCTTATGAACTACCTGCAGCCTGCAGGGCGGGCCAGTCTTATATAATGCTGGCCCGTCCAGGAGGCTGCTCTTGCCAATGCCAAAACGTGCCAGACCCTGGCGTTGAAGCTCAAACAAAGGTTGTCTTGAAAACAGGCCCAAAATGGCCTGTGCTAAAACCCTGGTCTGGTACCTAAGTTTCAGGGCAGGTCGATCTTATGAGTGCCTGAAAATGGCCCTCCATTTCAGGCTGAAAAGACTCAGGGCCTGGAGGGCCCTGTTTTACGCTGAAACGACACAGGACCTGTAGGCCCTTGTTTTCAGACTTTCAGGCTGAAACGACTCAGGGCCTGTAGGCCCTTGTTTTCAGGCCTTCAGGCTGAAAACGACACAGGGCCTGTAGGCCCTTGTTTTCAGGCTTTTAGGCTGAAAACAACACAGGGCCTGAAAATGGCCCTCGTTTCAGGCGCAGCATGTAACAGGGGGTGATGGCAACCTAGTGAAGGTCACCCGTATTGCAGATCAAGAGTGGAAGGATGCACATGCTCCTTGAGCCCACACAAGCAGAGGACGGCTTGTCGGTTACCAGGAGGCCCATCCACTTTTTTTCGGCTGGACTATCGCACTGAAACTCCCACCATGCCACCATTCCTTGTCGTTCTTTTCTACCATCCCTGGGTGTTAGGCGTGTTTTCCTGGCTGCCTCACAAAATGATAACCACGGCGTGTGGTTTGAGAAACAGGAAGAAGACATGGCCGTTCTTTTCTCATGGATTACTTCCACAAGCCTGAATCTGAAGACAAGCTGGGTGCCAGATCATCTCTCACCTGACACACACCACCGAAGGAACGATGAGTCAAAGCTGCTATTGATTGCTGATCTCTTCATTTGTCCCAACTATAGGGTGAGAGAGTGGCTGATCGCACTCACATTTTCTGAGGTTTTCATTTCCTCAGCCTGGGTAAACTGTGTAGTGTTGTTGACTGCACGAAAAAGGGGAAAAGAAAAGAGAAACAAATGAAGGGAAGGGCTCCGAAAGCATAAAGACCAAAAAGAAGACATAACATAGAGCAGCAGACTCACCTTCGGCACTCGAGAGGGCATCTTCGCCGCATAGTCTCCCAGTTTGCCAATCTTTCTGTCGTTGGGGGGTTCATCCTGGGTTGGGGCAGAGCATAGAAAACGAAACGAAACGCAACGGGCAACATCTGCTGGTTAGCAGTAGACGAACAAAACAACCCGAGAACTGGAACAGTAGCTAGAAATCATCAACAACATACGCACACGCACACACGCACACGCACACGCGCACACACACACACACACACACACACACACACACACACACACACACACACACACACACACACACACAGAGGCACGTACGCATGCCCCCCGCGCACACACACACACACACACATGGTGCCTTCCTTTCCACGCGATTCGTTCCTTCTTTGAATACATACATCCTCACTTCCAAATAACCACCACTCGGCAACCGACCGACATAGACACATAGACTAGCCTCACATGCAGAACCAGCTGTTTAACAAAAAGGGGGACAGGGCGGTCAGGGGTAGGAGTGAAGGGAAATATATTGTTCAACAAAGGGGGAAGCGCATGCAAAAGTTGGTCCGAAGCTACGTAGCACCGTGTTCGCGTTACAAGCGCCCAAAACCCTCCAAATGCGAACATAAAAAATATTTTTAAAAAAAAATCTCAGAAAAATCTGAAAAAAAATTTAGGTTATGTAAAATAACAAAAGAAGCAACTTTTGCCTTGGAGTCATGTTCAAATTCGTAGCCAATCATGAGTTAAAAATAAAAACCGAATTTGTTTTTTTACGGAAAAAAAAAATGTTCGCCCGAACATTTTCGCGCGAACGTGAAGGGGCGCGAACACGTTTGCCGTGCTACGCAGGTCCGAAGTTAAGAATTTGGGGAGAACAAGACAGGTTTTTCTGAATGATAACAACTGATGAAACCAGGAGTGCACCTGGTCGAAATTGGGAATGTGTGAGTTTATGAGGCGTGTACATGCACGTGCGATAGCAGCTTTATCCACCTGTTGTCCCTCTTCTTCTTCTTCTTCTACTCCTCCTCCTCCTCCTCCTCCTCCTTTTCTTCCCCAAGTAATATTGCAACTACTTCAGCTGCTGCTGCTGCTCACAACTCCCTCTCTTACTTAAAAGCAACTTTTTCCATGCTTCAATATCACAGACAACAAAAGGTTAATTGTCTTCTTCTTCTTCTTCTTCGTTGTTGTCGTCGTCGTCATCGTCGTCTTCTTCTTCTTCGTTGTCGTCATCGTCTTCTTCTTCTTCTTCTTTGACACCATCGTCATCTTTTCTTCTTCTTCTTCTTCTCTGTTTTCCACAAGATGTTCCCCTTCCATCTCCATCTTTGGAAGCAATGTTTTACCTGCAATGTATGTTCATGACAGGTAAAGTCCACCTACAAGTTACACCTACTAAGTACTTCTTCTTCTTCTTCGTTGTTGTCGTTGTCGTCATCGTCATCGTCTTCTTCTTCTTCTTCTTCTTCTTCTTCTTCTTCTTCTTCTTCTTCGGCGCCGTCGTCATCTTTTCTTCTTCTTCTTCTTCTCTGTTTTCCACAAGATGTTCCCCTTCCATCTCCATCTTTGGAAGCGATATTTTATCCGCAATGTATGCTCATGACAGGTAAAGTCCACCTACAAGCTACACCTACTAAGTACGCATACATCTCTTCCTGCCAGCAGCACCACTGCGACTCTTTCTGCCAGCAGCCGTAGACCCAGATAAGGTTGTGGATAAGTCCCGATCGAGTCAATAAAGAACAGGTTAGCTCCTCACTCTTTCTCCAATGAAGCGCTCACTACCATCATCTCCTTGTGGCCAACGCTGAACACCTCATATCATCACCCTCGTCCTCATCCATCACCAAAACCGTCTCATCATCATCATAGTTCAGCTTGTATACACATAAAAGCAACGTTGATTTACTGTCGAACAAGAGTGTTTGAAATTCATGCAAACTACCTTCTTCACCCCCAAACATAACGCACCCTGATTGCCAATGTACACGAGTGATCTTTCCAGTCCAATACACAGTCTCACCATGAGGGTGCGTTGAGTTCGGGGGAAAACGGTAGTTTTTAATATCATGTTCACTTTGATTTACTTCATATCAAATCAGCCCAGGACTGGGAAATATAATTGGATCAGATCCCTTTCTCCTCCTCCTCCTCCTGCTGCTGCTGCTGCTGCTGCACCATCACCATCTCCATTAATAAAAAAAATCAATCAATCAATCAATCAATCAATCAATAAATCAATCAATAAATCAATCAGTCAATCAATCAATCGGATTAATTAAAACTTCAATGATATCAAACCAGTTTGTCACCATCCTGAACTAACAATTAACGCAAGATTCATCCATGAAGTCCGCACTTCGAACAATGACCCGTAAATGGCACTCGCTGCACTAAGAGAAGGGGAAAAAATAATATAATAATCAGGGTTGCCGCCCCAAACGTTCGGGGGGCCCCAGGCCAACCCCCGTTTTGGGGCCCTCCGTGTTTGGGGCCCATCCCCGCAGGGGTTCGGGCCCCGCCAAGCCCTGTTTGGGGGACAAAAACTTTTTATATTTTTTTGAAATGTTTTTCGTCTTCAGGATATAAAGGTCCTACCTCTAAATTTTCAGGTTAATTGGTTTATTAAAAAAAAAGTTTAAAAAACATCAAAGTAGGAGCAGTCGAATAAACTGAGAACTCCCCCACGTTATTTCTTTTTTGGGGGGGTGGTTCAACGTTGTCAATGAATCAATCAATCAATCAATCGTCTTCTTTGATTGATTGATCTATTGATTGCTTGGTTGATCTATTGATTCATTCATTCATTCATTGGACAGTAGGGGGGGTCGTGCACACACACACACACACACACACACACACACACACACACACACATGGCAGGAGGGGTTCCTGCCATTCGGCAGGCAAACTGTCTCCCCGCATAGATTTATTTTTTTTCAAGGAAAAATATGTCGTGTGAAGAACCCCCCCTCCGCAATATACTCACCGGGAAAAAAAACTTACAGAAACAAAAAACAAAAAAAACAAAAAACAAACTTTCACGTTCGGGCTGAACGTGTGCCAGGGGGGGGCGAACTTTTGGGAGTTCAGACTCGGCAATTCGGCCGAACCCGAACTCCAGCTACCCTTTTGGGTTCAGCAATTCCGCCAAACCCGAACTCTGGCTACCCTGACAATAATAATAGTACTGGTAATAATTTAAAAAGGGCAAGTACTGCAGTGTCAGTGTCCAATGCAATTCATCAATCTTGTCACTGACCGGTTTGGTTGCACTACCTCGTGTTAAGTTATCCTGAGATTTTTTTGTTTTTCCCCGTTAAATCAACATTTTTTGCATTACATAATTCGAACCGAGGCCAGGAACCTCACAAACAACCCAGAAGGGAACTGACAGAGAATTTCGCAGAGCTGACTTCAAAACGAGACGTCATGACTCGGTCGAGGAACAGATTCCAAATTCACAAAGTACAATTTTTTATTTTCGTTTTAATTTTAATTTTTCACAACTAAAATATCGGAATGGCGATATGGTGAATTCGGCACGGACCTTCACTATTAAAATAATGATGAATGTCCAAATTCAACATTGAAACTATGATATTTTTTATCTGTAAATTTGGAATATAGGTACCCACCCGCTCCCATTCACATCTCCATCCTCCACCACGCATTCCTTCTGCCGCCCCTCCCCATCTCCGCCTCCCCCCCCCCCCCCCCCCCCCCCCCCCCCCCCCCCCCCTTGCCTCCCTTCTCCTTTGTCCTTCCATCGGTCCTCTTGCTCAACGCTTTCACCAACCCCACTTGCCAAGGCATTGGTTTGCTGTGTTGCGAGAACAAAAAAAAGAAAAAAGAAAAAAAAAAGAGGGGACATCCCATTCCTCCCGATGATCTCATAACGAGCCTCATTGCATGTCGAACGAGGTCCAAATATTCTCAGAGAATATTCCTTGGACTTGGAATATTCTTGGAATATTCCCTCCGGGTATTCTGAAACGTTTGCTACTAAGTCCAAATATTCTCAGAGAATATTCCTTGAAATATTCTCTGAGCGGATATTCTGAAACGTTTGCTACTCGACAATCCTGATATACAGCACAGAAAACCCTTCGACCCGCTGACGCTGCAGAAGAAGAAGAACAAGACAAGACGTCCTAATATCTTCTCGGGAGACTCTGCATGTTCGCTACCGAGATTCCCAACGCTCCCCAGAACAGTCCTGCAATTACGTCTTCCAGAATATAATTACCGCCAGATTCATCCAGGTCTGGGCGTAATTGCGGTCAGATTCATTTAGGAAAGCGCTAGTGTGAGTATGCAGCACTAGTGTGAGTATGCCCTGAGGTGCGCAATTACGGTCCAGACCGGAATACTCCGCCACCCACTGAAGAAGAAGAAGAAGAAGAAGAAGAAGAAGATGAGGAGGAGGAGGAGGAGGAGGAGGAGGACAATAGAAGAAGAAGAGGAATGAGGAGACCGGCCGTCCTAAAAAGCTTTGATAATCCATCGGGCAAATAACAAAAGCAAGAAAAAGAGGCGACAAAACAAGACAAAGAACACACACAAAGGAGCGACCACTTGCATGAATTGCTGCACACGGACGAGAACTTGCGTAGCAATCTATATATTTATATATATGACGATATATATATATCGTCAAATAGAACTGCCCGGTAAACCGTAGGCAGAGAGGGAGAAGAGGACAACAAACGAGGGGCTGTGACAAACTGTTTCGTCGGAGTTTCACCGACTCATCAGGAG